TTTGGATTAACCATTTTTTTGTTTTGCTCAGTAAGGCCATCTTAAGAAATTTCTTTGTTTAGCATTGCATGTACTTCAGAAAATTCTGTAGGAACATTTATAACAAAACATACTCAACAAATCAAAATTCAGTTAGCTGAATTTGATAGATTGAGCAATGGGACCTTACTTAGCTGTTAGATATCAAACTCAAACTAAAAAGTGGGGATCATTTCTTTCTCTTTTTCAGTACAAACGTACCTTGAGAGGGGCATTCATGTTTTGTAGACTTATTTCTAGTTTGCAATGTAATGCATTTAAAAGTTAAAGAAGACACTACTTAATTGTGCACATGTAACTAAATGAGAATTCTCGGCTAACATGGGTGTATCTTTGTAATAAAAGCGATAATTAAGATTGATCTGAATTTCTGAAAACTATATACCGGTACATGTATTATGCATATTTTTGTGTGAGATTGAAGTGGAAAATGTATAACACAATCAACTAGTTTGTAAATGAATATTGCAGTAATATTTAAAGATAACAATAGACATGATTTGCCACAAATGACACCACCATAATTGGTGGATCTTACTGAGCAACTTTTTTCGAAGGTGATCAAGTTCTGTTTTATGCTATTTGAAAATACACCCTTCCTTTAGTTGTCCAGCAGGGTGTATTAGTCCTTCTATGATAGTTTTTCTAGTATTTCACTGAAGAGTTAAAATTGTATATTGTAATGCTACATAGGTATGCAACAAAAGCTCACAAGAAACAGGATATCTAAATTCTTCGAAGTTTAATTTTCTTATTTGTCTATTAATAATTTATGCAGATATCAATAACACAAAAATAAATTGCAGCCTTTGACCCAACTTGAAGTCTTGAACATCAGTTAAAAATTATTGAAAAAAGAAGTAACTAGTAACAGAACTAGAGCAAAGCTCGTTGCAAAGCAACGAGTAGGTCTTCCGTCCTGTTTGACCAGAAGTAACTTTTATTTTTTTAAAAGAAGAGAAATGACGTCTCATCTCTAATGATTTAAATCTTCCAAATCTATGTTGAAAATTGCAAAAGTAAGCCATTTTTTGCTACTTCCTGTTTGACCAGAAGTGACGTCGACGGACGGAGAATTAAGTTTATGCTTCCAGTGACAAATATTTCCCAAAAACATGTCAAAATAGACAAAATATGCAGTTTCGGACTACTTCCGGTTTGGCCGGAAATGACGTCATAGGACGTATTTTTGTGACATAAGTATATTTTACTAAAGATTTTCAACAACTTTGCTTCTTTGATATATAACAAATTCTCAATACTTTTGAAGATATCTGGAAAAAACTTTTGGCCCCTCTAGATCCCTTAATTTAGGGGTCAGCTCTTTTTCCGAGATATCATTTGAAAGATCTTTTAATTCTGCACAAATAATATTCTATATGTTTTAACAAAATATTTTTAGTTTAGAAGATAAAAAGCAAAATATGAGTAATTTTTGGCTCGCTTAGGTGTTCCAGTTTTTGACCCTATATAGCACCATTGTGAATAGAGAAATCGAAAAACAAAAACCGATGTGCACAACTTCAATCCTTCTATTGTCTAAAATCAGTAGAATTTCTGCTCCAGCTTAAGCCGTCTCTGAGCCTTTGACTGGAAACGAAAGCCATAAATTTTCGTTTAAAGGGAAATAACTCAAAACCAGAAGTGACTTTTTGAAATGTTAGACAGCATTCTGATAGAGTTTAGTAACGTCTATTAACTCTGAAAATTTGAGCGAAATCCATTGAGAAATGAGTGAGATATGAGGCTTCAAAGTTGGCCTCTAGGAAGTAGAAGAAAAAAAAAAGAATAATAATCTTTACCAACAGAATCAGTAGAAGGTCTTCCATTGGAAACGAAAGACCTTAATAAGTAAGGCAATGCACTTACATATGAAAAGATCTTAATCAGCTTCAGTTTTGATAAAGGATAATTACCATCTTATTCCAGAAATGATTCCTTGACAGAAAGATTTTTCATGGTTATCTTTTTAAAGGTACTTGGACACAGATTATATTTTCTCTATAATATTACAACTTATATATTTTAATAGCATTTCACACAAGAATTAATTAAAAATCTTATTTCATTTAAAAGTTATTGAAATTTTAATTTTTTTGGTGGGTTTGATTGACACATCCTTGCACTTTCACAAATTTTAACTTTATTCTTAATCCTTAGGAAAAGTGGCAATCTTGTTGTGTATTAATGTAAAATATTAATACTATAATCCAGAAAATTCAGAGTAGACATGTTCGAAAGCAAAACAAACACACAATATATTGAAGTCCGTGTTGTGGTGAGCAACATCGGAGAATCGTAAACATCAAACAATAACAGAGCTCATGCCCTGTTTACAAAAACTGTGTACATAACACGAGTGTGTTCGATTTGCTAAACTCTGTACACAACGAAATGACAATACTTGTGAAGGAGTTTTGCTTTCTAACATTTCTACTCTGAATAAAATTATTTTTCTGGATTTAAGTTTTAATATTTCTCATTAATACACAACAAAATTCCCACTTTTCCTAAGGATTAAAAGAAAGGTAAAATTTGTGAAGGTGCAAGGATATGTCAATCAAACCCGCCGAAAAATTTAAAGTTTTAATAACTTTTAAATGAAATAAGATTTTTAATTAATTTTTGTGTGAAATGCTATTAAAATATATAATTCATGATATTATACAGAAAATATTAACTTCAAATCTGTGTCCAGGTACCTTTAAATTTGGAAGAAAGGGTTAAAAATTCAGCATGTGAAAAATAAAAATTTACAAAGTCCACTATTATTTGTGTTGGAGAACCATGTTACATTACATCAGATTGGGTGCTTAAACAATGCTCTGGGAAATTTGGATAATTTTCAGAAGCATATCCTCAGACTATGTAGAAAAGAGGTGTTTCGTGTCTTTCAAAGTGAGGTGTCAAATCTTGTTAAGACTCCAGGACTTTATACTTGCTGTTAGCTTTTTGGAGCGAGATAATTAGATTCTCCCTCAGAGTTATAATTCTCTGGAGTCCTAACTATTGATTTTTATGTCTGTGAATTCAGTAGCTACAGAATTTATTTTCCTCTTGCTCGTTGTAAAGGTGCAAATTTGGTGCCTTTTTCATGGCAATTTTCTTGGAACTTCCACAGCTCTGGGATTCTGTTTCATTGTTTATTTGCTCTGTGCATGTAATAAATGCAGGTCTTTGTGTTAAACTGTCAGAATTTGAACCGACAAGGGAAGACTTGCTTGATGAGGCTTTGAAAAAAAGTTTGATTTTAAGTGAAATGCTAGAATGACAACAACTAAGCATTTTTTTCTTTGAATGTGTTGAAATTCATCTTGTGAAGTAAATGCCTATTGGTAATTACAGGTGCAAGTGAAATTTCAGATAACTTGTAATATAAAAGGTGCTCTCATGAAAATGTATTATTTTAAGCAAAGTGTACAAGGCCAATGATTTATATGGTAATTACAGTTGAACTGGTAATTGAATTTTGTGATAAATTGTATTGTTAAAAATTTAAGACGTTGAAAAATTATCAAGATCAGAAGAGGAAACACAATTGATATTTTTGTTAACTCTACACATTATATTGGATGTTTAACTGATATTTTTTTAAAAATCTATTGTAGTGTGCCAAGACTAGAGTTGGAAGTACAGCTATGGTTACTAAAAAGAAGAGCTGTAGTCAGCCACTGTTTTTACCCCATCATCAACATAAATATTTGATTAAAGCATGCAGCCACTTCAACCCTGGTTAGGGGAGCCATTAAGCCTTGTACCAGATCCATTAATTCTCTCAGAGATGTCCATAACCAAATCATGCAGCTATTACATTATTCAGGTATTATTTGATTAAGTGAAGCAATGCCGGTCTCTCTTGACTTGATCATTGATGCCATTGGAGGACAATTAGGGGCCGGGACCTAATCAGTGCTCTGTTAGTCCTAAGTGAATCTTACTCATGTGAAACTGATCTCATTATGAGGCTGATACTCAGATGGTGTGGTGGTAATTTGATTTTTAAACTACAAAGTGATGGATGCTAACTTCACTTTGTTCCATTTTTATGCACTTTTGTTGAAAAAGTGTCACAGGAAGATGACTAAATTTAGAGATTGTTTAAGTCTCTTTTCCTTATTATGTCAATAAAGATATTGTATCTAAAGGTTAATTTATTTAAAATTATTAATGTGATTAACTAAAAACAGTAGGTATTAAAGTTGTATTGTATATGGAAGATATTGTCTTTTACTCAGTGAATTAATGTTTTATAGTATTTTGATATGTGTGCCTAATAGTATTTATTGTCTGTTTCAGAATGACATGGCCTCCAATCCCTGACAATGTAATGTATGGAGATTGATTATTTTGATTTGAATAGAAAGATATTCCTTGTCTTTTAAAAGTCACTAACTTTCTAAATAATCATTAATTGTAATTTTGAATAAAGTTTAAAAAATTTTGTAATTGATTATTAAGCATCATCATGTTCATCCAATGAAAATGTTTCCTTTTCAGATTTAATTACGTTGTTGATTTTAATGTTTTTAGTCAATGTTGATTATGTTTTAAATGTATTTGATGTCTTGTACAAACACCTTGGTAACCCTGTTTGATTGATCTCCAGTGAGAGAATAAACCTCACTAGAGATAACTCCAGCAGTGGCTTACATTATGTGATATGAGATATTTTGTCATTTTACACTTTAATACAGTAGAAAATACAGTGTTGCAAATGATCTGTTTTCATTGTACTTTTGCATAAGTTTTATAATATCCATTTATATGCATGCATATATGTGCTCGGCCATAAATTCTATCTTAAAATGTTAAAGATATGATAAAAGTCACCCTTAAGTCACGATTTGAATAATTTATGTGCTGAATTATGTTAATAAAATTACAAAATCCTTCACTCTGAGCATAGTAATTATGTGTGACGCTGCTACCTAGACTTAATGAAGCAATATTTTTTTATCTAGGTGTTGGCCTATGTTGAACATGCACATGGAAAATGGCACTTCAATGAAATACGTGCAATCTTCTCCCGCCTGTATCTGCTGCAGAATGTGGCGATCGAAATCTTCATGGCGAACAGGAGTGAGTCCTTTGATATATAATAAAAAGTTCCGAAAAGTGAAAACTTGGAATATACTGAATACGAAGCATCATGGTTTGAAAAGCGAAAAAAAGTAATAAATTCAGTCTTTATAATGCATTTCATCATCATCAACACAAATATAATCTTCGTAAGTGGTTTTGCTTGCGGCGGTTAGGAATATGATATTTATTATACAGATCATGTAATCGTAGTTCTTCAAAGGAAGGTTTGGAATTGCTTGTTGACTTGTTAAACATTAGGCGGTGGCGGTACTTCTCAGGAGATGGCGACACGTCAACTATTTATAATACTTCTGTCGATCAAATATTAACGTATTCCCAACCACATCTAGAGTTCTGGTACCACCTGCTCTTTGATCTGGAGAATGTCGCTGACATTTAAATTTTTTAAATAGAAGAAATTAGACTTTGTTTCTTTTAATTAAAAGTATGTATGATACCAATAACCGAATTTCAAAAAAAGTCAATGTCCGCATCTGGAAGTTGGAGACAAAAAGCTTAAATAAGTGTAGATATGGCAGTTGTAATGCCATTGACATTCAAATATGCTACATAAATTGTCAAGTTATTAGCCTCTAAGCGAATTGTCACCAGAATAGCTAATTATTCAGAATATAATAAATATTAAAAATGAGAATGTTTTATGAATTGTGAGGTAGAGACATGTTTGCTGCACTTTTCATTAAGTCCTTAGACAGTGTCTTGAGTTCACAGTGACACAGATTTATCTAGTTATGCAAAGTTTTCGACTGTGGTTGCAATATATATAACGGTGTTTATAAATTCCCTGTTATTTTGTTGAAAAAAATGCTTTCGTTTCAAGGACAAAATAAAAAAAAACCCACAGTGTATATTTGTTTGCTTACTAAAATAAATAAATCCATTTTTCCTTTCATATCATATCTTCACAAGCCATTGGTTTTTGTCCATTTTGCCCTCCACAAACGACGCAAGCGGACCAAAATCCATTGGCTTGCGAAGATATCCATATAGCTTTGCTTTAATTTCTTTAGTTTTCTATTGTTCTGAAACAATAAATGGTGCAAAGGGAAAACAGCATTTCAAATTCAAATATAGAACTGTTTTCATTTTGACACAAAAGTATATTGGAAAGAATTGATATTTTAATAATACATGTAGTATTGTAAAAGTTTTTAAACAGAATCTTCACAATTCCGACTACACACTATCAAATGTATAAAAAGAAAAGTAAGGATATGTTGAAAAAAATCAAGCAACTAGTTCTTGATGAACACTTTGAATATCATTGATGTGCTGTTCCCCTGACAAAATGATATAGTAAAAGATCATTTCCATCAATATACATCATTTTCAAAAACATTGAGTTTAACAATCATTTAATATTTTTCAGCTGCTGTCATGTTTGCCTTCCCAGACCATGCAACAGTCAAAAGAGTTGTCAATGCCTTGCCTCGTGTCGGAGTGGGGGTCAAATATGGATTGCCACAAGCCAGGTAGTAAAAAAATCAGCAAAGATACATTGAGTGATTTATCAAAAAAGGAAACCAACAAGAATAAAAGCCAGTTTCATTGGCACCAAGCACACATAGGGAACACCAGAAGTTAATTAATTTGTAATATTAAGGAAAGAGTTTGGTAAACAGACTTTGATTTTCAGAATCTTTTACTTTTCTCAACAATGTGAGTGAAATTCTAGGCATTTTTCGTATAAAAAATTTTTACAGATTAAGAAGTCGGAACAATAATCAAAAATTGATATCCATTTTACACCCAATGTTTTTGTTTTGCAGGAGGTTGTCTTTGGCATCTGGAAAACAATTGTATAAACTGTCCAGTATGACCCAGAAATGGCAAAGGAGGGAGATATCTAACTTTGACTATCTCATGTACCTTAATACCATAGCAGGTGGGGCTCTAAGATGTACCATAAACACTAAACTAAGTATTGATATATAATTTGTAGCCAAATGTCATAAATCCATGTTGTTTCATATATCATAATACAAGTTGTGAATATAAAGCACAAAAACCCAAACAACAACAAAAAAAAAAAAAAATTGGTCCCTCAGATACAAAATATCTACTTGATCTACATGTATATCAACACAGATTTGCGTCACCAAAGTACCACAGATTGTTGAATGTTTCTTTCATTCAAAAGAAAATCACTTTGCTTCAAAACTTTTGAAAATCCAGATTGGTACACCTCCACAGGTCTACTGGTAGTACTAAAAGCCTGTCTCCAAAACCCACAATACCTAATTCTATATATCACATTACCCCACATTGTCAATGTAGGACCACAAAATCACAGAATGTGAGACTTTACTGCAGATTTAGATTACAACAATTTCTATCTTCATGATAGAACATGATGTCAGGGTGTCAGAACTTGTAAAATTTACACTGTAGTTTAAGTTTGTAAGATGAACATTGTATTAACTAAACTTTTCTCAGTTCTGATGAAAATTTTAAAGTATCAGGCTTATTGGATCACTAGAATTGAATACATGCACCAAAATATTAAGATTATCAGCCTCCATCTCTCTTGTAACCCCAAAGAGTCTCCAACTATACTTGCAAGATTATTGGCTCTTTCTAAAACAATGCCACAGAATGCTAAGCTTCATATTTCACAATACCACAGAATGCTAGGATCTAAATACCACAGAATGTTTGATTATTATTAAGGAATCACTGTCTAGTTAGTATAGTATGCCAGGACATCAACAATAGTGGGAAACATGGGATAATTTGCATAACAGGCGAAGCCCGTTATGCATAAATTATCCCATGTTTCCCACTATCGTTGATGTCCCTGACATATACTAACTAAACACCGATTCCTTATATTTCCATTTCATTGTGAAATAAAATTGTAGATTTGGATTTTAAAAATGTAGACATAGATTTAAATTACTCGTGGACTCCCATGCCAATTTCAATATTCCTCGCCCACTGACGTCAAACACAAAGGCAACTGCATGAGATTTACATGCATATTTGGCCCCCTTAGCCTCAGATACAAAGACAGATGGGCACAAGATTTGCATGCATATTAGGCCTCCTTAGCTCCTGACCTATCGACCTGCCTAATTTACATTCCAGTAGAATTCAAGAAATCAACTCTGCTAACTTTCAAAGAGTTATCACAGAGAAAAAAATTAGAAATGCAAATATTCCCCCATATTACCTGAAATGCTAAGCTTTATCTCCCATAATACCACAGATTGCTAGTCTGTACTTGTAGTACCACAGAATGCGATGCTCTGTATCATGCAATACAACTTATTGTTATATCCCATGGTACCCAAAGAATGGAAACTGCAAATTGCTAGGTTTTATCTTTCCAGAATACTAGCCATTATCTTCTGTAATATATCAGAATTCTTATCTTTTTCTCCCACAATATCAAAGAATGTTTGGTTTTATCTTCCTCAGTACCTCAATATACTACACTTCATCCCCCTTCATACCACAGAATGCTACACTCTGTATTTAAAAAATGCCCCAGAATACTTAAGTTTTATCTTCCACACCACAGAATCATAGCCTATAACTTAAATAATGCCAGAGAAAGCTAGGCCTTATTTCACACAATACCACAGAAAGCTAGGCCTTATTTCATTTGCAACCGGAGAATGCTATACCTTATTTTACACAATACAAGAGAATGTTTGTGCCTTTCTCCCATGATACTAAAATGTACCAGGATCTATCTTCCACAACACGAGCAGTCTGGAGGCTTTTTTCCAGCAAAGGATGCTTGAATTAATGTCTCACAAAACCACAGAATTCTAAGTTTTATCTGCCACAAAACCCCTGAATAAATCTTCTTAAAACAGAACTCAAGGCTGCACAATACCACATAATGCTAGGCACTATCTCACACAATAACAATATATGCTAGGATCTATCTCGCACAACACCATAGAATGCTAGGCCCTATCTCACACAATACCACAGAATGCTAGGCCCTATCTCACACAAAACCACAGAAGGCTTGGCTCCATATCGCTCAAAACCACAAAATACTAGGCCCTATCTCACACAACACCATATAATGCAAGGCCCTATCTCACACAATACCACAGAATGCTAGGATCTATTTCACACAATGCCACAGAATGATTTGGGCCCTATTTCACAAAATACACCAGAATGCTAGGCTCCTCACACAATACCACAGAAAGCTGGGCCTTATTTCACACAATACCACAGAATGCTAGGCCCTATCTCACACAAAACCACAGAATGATTGGCCATATCTCACACAACAACATAAAGGCAAGGCCCTATCTCACACAATATTATAGATTGCGATGTTCTTTCTCAAACAATACCACAGAATGCTAGGCCTTATCTAACTTAATTTCATAGAATGCCAGGCCCAATCTCGCACAAAATACCGTAAAATGCTAGGTCCTATCTCACACAATACTATAGCTTGCTAGGCCCTATCTCACACAAAACCACAAAACTATCTCAAAACCACAAAATACTAATTTCACAAGCCCTATCTCACACAATACCATAAATACAAGGCCCTATCTCACACAATACCACAGAATGGTAGACCATATCTCACATAACACCATAAATGCAAGGCGCTATCTCACACAATGTTATAGATTGCTATGTTATATATCACACAATAAAATGCAAAACCACAGAATACACAAAACCACAGAATGCTAGGCTCTATCTCACACAATATCACAGAATGCAAGGCTCTATCCTGCACAACTCCATTTAGTGTAGGCCCTATCTCACATACTTCCACAGAATTGTTGGTCCTATCTCACACAATACTATAGGCCCTATCTCACACAAAACCACAGAATGCTGGGCTCCATCTCACACAATACGACAGAGTGCTGGGCTATTTTCTTGCACAATACCATACTGCTTAAAAAGACATCAAAATTTTATTTCCCTAATTTCTTAGATAAAAATTTTGTTATATAGCATTAGATCACAGTTTTAAACTACACCTCATAAAATTTATTCAGGAGCAGCTATATTTAATGTAATGAAAAAAGTGAATTCTAGATGACTGTAGAAATGTAGAAATAAAATATCCTATTTACATTTGTCATTTCAGGTCGTACATACAATGACTTAAACCAGTATCCTGTGTATCCTTGGGTGATTGTGAACTACGACTCAGATGAATTAGATTTGAAACAACCAAGTAACTTTAGAGATCTGTCAAAAGTAAGCACGTTTCTTGTTTCTGGATATTGCATGCCATAGATTTATTTTTGAAAAGTAATTCTGTTTACATTCATAAACCATAGGAGTGAAATTTGTGATTTCTTTTTTTCAGCCAATTGGTGCTCTGAACCCCACCAGAAGGGAGTTTTTTGAGGAGCGCTATAATTCCTGGGAACATGATCAAATTCCCCCATTTCACTACGGCACTCACTACTCTACGGCAGCTTTTACTCTCAACTGGCTCATCCGAGTAGTAAGTAATAATTAGCTCATCTGAGTAGTAAGTAAAAACTTACCCATCTGTGTAGTAAGTAAAAACTGACCCATCTGTGTAGTAAGTCTAAATTGACTCATCAGAGTAGTAAGTAAAAACTGAATCATCCGAGTAGTAAGTAAAAACTGACTCATCCGAGTGTTAAGTAAAAACTGGCTCATCCAAGTAGTAAGTCTAAATTGACTCATCCGAGTAGTAAGTATAAACTGACTCGTCCGAGTAGTAAGTGAAAACTGGCTTATCAGAGTAGAACTTAAATCTGACTCATCTAAGAAGTATAAACAGGTTCATGTGAGTAGTCAGTAAAACTGGTTTATCAGAGTAGTAATTAAAATCAGACTCATCCAAAAAGTAAATGAATACAGAGTGGTAAGTAAAAAGTTGTCTGATAGTTCAATACTGTGAAATGAATTATTATGTATTAAAAGTAAGTTATAGAACCCTCAGATGGCTCTTAATCAAATCTCCACTAACTTGCTAAAAAAACTTTTAGATATTAAAATAATGTACACACTGAATATTATTAAGTTCAAATATTCCACACCATAGTTGCATGTCTCATATTTAACTTTTTTTTATAGGAGCCATTTTCTACTATGTTTTTGAACCTTCAAGGAGGCAAATTCGATCATGCCAACAGAACATTTAGTTCTGTAACACAGTCTTGGAAGAACTGCCAGAGGGATACATCAGATGTCAAGGTATGCAATTAGAGAGGTCTGCTCAGTGTTAATTTTAGCTCACCTGAACTATTTAAGTGAGCTTTCCGGGTCTTACTGTATCTTGCATATGTCTGTAAACTTTAATTAAATATGCTTTGATATTGTCAAATGATTTTTGAGAACATTTGAGCAAAAGTTGAATCTTTAATATGGAGGCTTCATTCATAAGATTGAAGATTCAAATTACTTTTTAATGGGATAGTAATCATTTCATGTTAAAAGAGGGCAATTCATTTGACTTTTCATTGTCATAGGTTGCAATCTGTTACAAGTAAGATAACTCTTGTTTATTCTCTCTACAGGAGCTGATCCCTGAATTTTTCTTCCTCCCAGAAATGTTCATCAATCAAAACAGATTTAAATTTGGTAAACAGGAAGATGGTGGGGAAGTCAACGATGTTGAAATGCCACCCTGGGCAAAGAACCCTGATGATTTCGTCCGAATTAACAGAATGGTTAGTCTATGTAAATAGAAAAAAGCAATTCATTGATGCCAATGTTTAAGAAGTCTTAGTGTATTATTAAACCATGCAAGTTTCAGAGTTTTCTCCTTTCTTTCATGTAATATATTTTATTGATGCTTATATTCATGTATCAAGTTTGCAAACTTACCCCCACCTCCATCTTTGAATTAAAAATGTTATAAATCTTACATTATTTCAGGCCTTAGAATCAGAATTTGTGTCTTGTCAACTTCACCACTGGATTGATTTGATATTTGGATATAAACAAAGAGGTAGGTATTTCCTTGATAATTATAATATGTGGAATTAAAAACCTCAAATGTATATGATAAAATGAGTAAATAAATTACATACAGTTACAAATGTCGTTATTTGAAGGTATCATAGTATTTTATGTTAAAATGGATTTTCACATGTATTTGCAATCACTTTTTTAACCTGTTTACAGATTAAATGTAATTCTAATAAAAATTAAGAAGTTATTAAATGAAAATAACAAATACATACATCAATATGTGGATGTACTTTCTAGGTCCAGAAGCAGTTAGGTCTACAAATGTTTTCTACTATCTTACCTATGAAGGCAGTGTCAACCTAGAAAACATGGCAGACCCTGTCATGAAAGAGGTTTATATTTTGTTATTTATTAAAGTTTTATACATGTATCTTCATCTATTGTGTGATAGTACTTTTTGAAGATTATATATTTCAAATCCTTATTTTAAAAAAAAGCAAAGAGTGAATATCTTTCTAATGACAAAAATGCTCTTCAAGAGTAGGACATTTAACTGAAGTTTTGAGTAAATGTTGATTTATTACCAACAGGCTATAGAGAACCAGATCCGCAGTTTTGGACAGACCCCCACCCAGCTCCTGACGGAGCCCCACCCACCCCGCAGTTCTCTGATGCACTTGGTAAGTCAGGCCTCTCTGTTATGGAATGTTGGTTATATGACACTGTAAACAAATAACTTGATTGTTGTGCTGTTTGTGGATTGTTACTGACAGCTGCATCCATAACACTGTTTCTAACCAGAAATTGTAATACTGCACAAGGTTTAAAATATTTCTATTAATTAAAACATGGTGCTTTGGGGGGAAATGATTAATTTTTGGAATTGTATGATGGACATTGATTTAATATTCATGAAGTACATGAAATTGAATGCGAGTGAGGAATAACTACTAATGTGCTGAATTTTCAGATGTCTGAACGCTATCAGGAGAACAAACTCAGAGGGAGAAAGGTTCATTTTATTATAAATCATTTTGGTGGTAGTTATACAAGGCATTATTACATTTGAATTTAAATCATGCCAGATTATTTTTTTGTCTTGTTAGTGACTTTGAGAGGAATGTTAAGAATTTTCTAGATTGAATGATTTTATACCAAAGGTGGTGGGATATTTGATAACTGTTTAATTTTTAGCTCACCTCAACGAAGTTGGGGGAGCTTATGTAATACCCTCGGTGTCGGCGTCGGTGTCGGCGTCCCAGGTTCAGTTTTTTGGAGCAGTTTTTCTTTTTAAGTACTTCTATGTCATATATTGATTAGACATGCATGAAAGATGCTTCTAATGTGTTTCACTGTACCAGTCAAAGTTTCAGATTTTTCAGCAAAGGAATGACCAGGTTAATGTTTTTGGAGCAGGTTAACATTTTTGGTGCAGTTTTTGATGCAGGTTCATTTCCAAGTAACTATAAGCCCTATGTTGACCAAACTTGCATGGATGGTACATCTAAGGATGCACATTAGCAGACTTGCTTCGGATGCTGAATCTGACCTACATGAGTGAACAGGTTAATGTTTTGGTGCAGGTCTCATTTCCAAGTAACTATAAGCCCTATGTTGACCAAACTTGCATGAATGATACATCTATGGATGTACACTACCAGAATTGCTTCGGATGCTGAATCTGACCTACATTTTCTGGTTGAGTGAACAGGTTAATGTTTTTGGTGCAGGTCTCATTTCCAAGTAACTATAAGCCCTATGTTGACCAAACTTGCATGGATGGTACATCTTAGGATGCATACTACCAGACTTGCTTCGGATGCTGAATCTGACTTACATTTTCTGGATGAGTGAACAGGTTAAAGTTTTTGATGCAGGATTCATTTCCAAGTAACTATGAGCTCTTTAATGACCAAACTTGCATGGATGATACATCTAAGGTTGCATTCTACCAGGCTGGCTTCAGATGCTGAATCTGAACTACATTTTTTTCTGGATGAATGAGGAGATTAAATTTTTAAGCAGGTTTCATTTCTAATTAACTATTAGCCCTATATTGTGCAGACTCGCATGGATGATACATCTTAGGATGCATACTAATGGACTTGCTCCGGATGCTGAATTCGACATACATTTTCCAGATAATGGACCAGGTAAAAAGTTATGGGTGCAGGTCTATCACCAAGAAACTATAAGGCTTAAATAAACCAAACTTGCCCAAATGATGCATCAAGGGATGAAAACTCTTAAACTTGCTTCAGATGCTGGATTTGATCACATTTTTGTGATGAAGAACTAGATTGAAATTTTTATATAGGTCTATTTCAAAGTATCAGATCAAAATTTCATAAATGTTGCATTTTTGGATGTACACTTTTTGTTGGGTAATTGTGTGACTTTGCCTTACTTAAAGGCAACATTCGTTGAGGTGAGCTCTGTAATCTCTGATTACTTATGTTTTTATGAACTAACAAATACAGTTTTAAGTGGAATTTTTAGCATGATACAAATTTAACCATTGGATCTTAAAAATTGATATATTAGTGAGAGGTATTTTTAGGTCACCTGAGTAAACTCAGGTGACCTATTGCTATCTGTTTTTGTCCGTCGTCGTCCGTCGTGCGTTGTGCGTTAACATTTAAACATTTTCAGCTTCTTCTCTGAAACCACTGAACCAATTTCAACCAATTTTGGCATATAGCATCTATGGGTGAAGGGGAACAAAAATTTTGAATTTCGTGGTCCCTGCCCCCCTGGGGCCTGGGGGGTGGGGGAAAAACCACTAAAATTATTGCAATCTTTAAAAATCTTCTTCTTTACTCCCAGACATCAAGCAGTAAAACTGTTGGTATGATTGTAATCAGCATTGAGTCCTCTACCAAAATTGTGAAATTCATGGCCCCAGGGTCAGGGGTTCTGGTGTTAGGGCGGGGCTCTATTGATCATATAGTGAAAATGCATTATTTCTTTGAAAATCTTCTTCTCTGCTCCTGGGTATTAAATAAACTAATTAAGTTCATAGTTATGATGAGCAAGAGTGCCTCTATGAAAATTGTGAATTTTATGGCCCCAGGGTCAGGGGTTATGGTGTTAGGGCGGGGCTCTATTGATTATATAGTGAAAATGCATTATTTCTTTGAAAATCTTCTTCTCTGTTCCTGAGTATTAAATAAACTAATTAAGTTCATAGTTATGATAAGCGAGAGTGCCTCTACCGAAATTGTGAAATTCATGGCCCCAGGGTCAGCGGTTCTGGTGTTAGGGCGGGGCTCTATTGATTATATAGTGAAAATGCATTAAATCTTTGAAAATCTTCTTCTCTGCTTCTGAGTATTAAATAAACTAATTAAGGACATAGTTATGATGAGCAAGATTGCTTCTACCAAAATTGTGAATTTTATGGCCCCAGGGTTAGGGGTCTTGGTGTTAGGATGTGGCTCTATAATGATTATATGGTGAAAATACATTACATCTATGAAAATCTTTTTCTCTACTCCTGGGTAATAAGCATAATGAACTATTAACATAGTTATGATGAATTTTTTCCAGAATTGTGAATTTCAAGGCCCCTGGGTCAGAGATACCAAAATGGGGAGATTACTTATATACTGAAAATGAATTGTTTGAAATCTGCTGGTATTAATCACACATTTTTGATAAGCAAGTGTGCCTTTTCAAAAATTGTGCAATGTGTAGACCTAGGGTCAGGGGTTCATGTGTGGTAGGAACACTCCTGATTATTGCTGAATATTACTGATTAGTTGACATACTTTTTTGTTCCCCTACCCTGCTTATCCATATTAAGTAAACAAACTAATCAATTGCTAAGTGTATAATTATGATTAGCAATGGTGCCTCTTTCAGAATTGTGAATGCCATAGCATCTAGCTTAAAACATGAACCAAATTCAATCATTTGAAAATTGTTGCATGATGCTCAGGTGACCTATAAGGCCCATGGGCCTCTTGTTAGTGATTATATGACTTCACAAGAGATGAGTGTAAACTCTAGCACTGATTAAATTTTTAGTGATGTTCAATTATTACAACTTCAACAAACTCATGTCAATATTGAATCCTTGCTTAAATGATATATACAGGGAAACGTTTTATTTTCGCCCCTTTGCCCTCTTCCTATGGGCGAATAGTGCAAATTCAAATTTCACAGCTTAATTTCTTAAACAAAACTATAACTGGGCGAATTTAAAATGGGGCAAAATTGTTCGCAAGTGCAAAAGGGTGAAAATAACATGTGGCGAAAATAACCCTGTATACAGTAGTTCATTGTAAGGAGTCTGAAATATTGACTAGGTTACTTTGTTTTGTTCAATTATTTGGAGTTGGATATATTCTTTGTTTTTTAAATTGAAAATTACACTTTTAAATTCATTTTTAATATTCAAAATGTATTTGTTGAAAATTATAGTACTCTATCTTACTATAGCATGTGGCTGATACCCTATCTTTGTTAAAATAATGACCATTATAGACCATAATCCATATATACATTTAGATATAAAGTACAGTACAACTTATTTAGTACAAACACAGATATAGCTGTTGTAGCAAAGTTTCTTAATTCTTGGTGAACTCTTGAATTTTTGGAAATATTATAGTTGGTTTGGACTCTGAAATAACAAAGTTATGGATATTGTGAACTGATTTTGTGTCCTATAGAGCTATCATCTGTGTATAAATTCATGAGGCGAGTAATAACTATTCAACTTTAAAGTTTATCAGCAGGAGCTTCTTATTAGAGGCCATGAAAACTTGTGAAGAAAGAATAACTTTTTGTTGACTTCATTTTTTACCTGTCCACTTCAGACTCCGATGATGTTTTCCACGGTCCAGGATGACGTGTGTATGATCATGAAGTTCCTGTCTAACTCCCCCGTCATCCACATCGCGGCAAACACTCACCCCGCGGTGCCTGTTCCCGCCGTCACAACCATCACCTGCAACCACAACTTCGCCGTCAACAAGTGGAACACCACCTATCAACGTAAGTAAACGTTAAATCTTCCTCTCAGTGAATGAAACTTTTAAATTACAACAGCATGTATCATCATCTTGAAGGTATCTCCTCTCTATTGCATGATTTTGGGCTGCTGTGCATTTTTTACCTCTTTTTACTGCCTTTAAAGCATTTTTCCATTTTTGACCGAGGTGTTTGATAATTGCAATCTTACAGAACAAGGCCCGCCCACGAGTTTCTCTTCAGACAAGCCTGATCCACAGTTAAATCTGCCTCTGGCTATGGACCAACTGTTAGGTAAGGAGCAATGTTAATCTAATAGGTAAAACTGTGTCCATATGGGAAAAATCTCTATGTTTTAAATTGTCATACAAGTCTTCTTTGGATGTTTTTATAAATACTGTATTTAATATTTAATCAGGCAGTAAATTTTAATTTTAATTGTGACCTAAATTCATATAAGGGAATATATAGATGTAATGATTTCATTTCTATGACCACCCATATGTCTACCTTGACATTTCGTCGTAAACTATTTCCAAAATTTTAATGTCAATCTGCATTATGATTGTGCATGTATTGTTCATCTTTTGAATTTTTTTCTTTGTATGTTTCTCTAATATGAATGATAAATCTAAATATTTCTAAACAGAAATTCCTCTTCTTAATGTAGGATGTGCCTTCTGGCATGTATTTTCATAAATCTGTTTGAAATGTTATGAAGAACAGAATTGAAGAAAAATCTCTGTGTTGAAAGTTTTTTCCAACAATATATTTCTCTCTTTCTCTATAATGAGAGGACTTTTCATTGAATTTCAAGTGTGTTAAATAAATAAAAAATAATGAAACAGAAGCAGTATAAAGAGTTCCAATTGTTCTATTGTATCCACTGTGTTGGTCGGGGTATATGTCTTCCAAGATCCAATTTTCACCACAGTTTTCAACCTATGTCCCCCATTGCTTTTATTTTTTCCCCAGCAAAACATGGGCGCAAAACTATTGTTGATCTACTCATGAAGTTAAACATGTAAAAATATAAATTTTGATTAAAGAGACAACATTTTAACCATGTCAAAATTCTAATAATACCCAGTAGAATTCCTTACTGGTATGGATATTTCAAAAAGTAGTTAAAGCATTGAATTATTTTTTGAAATGTGTTGCTATATAACTGCATTAGTGTATGCGAACAAATTGAGTAATGCACATTAGTGTGTTGAGAAAATTTGTTTCCTCACACTACTGCAGTTATGATACTACATCTTTCAAAAAATCTTAATTCCTTGCGTATACAGTGTATTTACATTTTTTTTTATCTTCGTTTCTGCAAATGTGAAAACCCCTGTTTTATCCTTCATGTTTATAGTTATAAATACTAATTGGAAATTGCTAGCTATTTCAGTTGGACTATTCAGTGTGAGCATGATTTTCATTTCACCAATGACATTTCATTTGTCCGACATTCAAAATTTGTGAACTCCAATTAAATATTCATTTTGAATTCCTTTCTCTGTTATATGTTTTGATTCCATAATTTCTATGCCTTTATAAACAAAATATAAGATGGAGGTAAAAAATTTCATTGAACCAATCGTAGCTGTGAAATGAAGGATACTTCTAATGGTTTTCCTTTTATCCAGACTGCATTTCATTCTTTAATGGTTAGTTTATATTGCTCAGTGTCATGTAGAATTTTTAAATGTAACGTAATATCTTATTCTTGCACACACGAATACCTTGATCAGCTGTGAGAGCATTTTGGCTCTGTCATATTTTGAATTTTTACTTTTTCTTCAGATATGATGTCACATTACTTGATTTAGATGACATATGAAAATTTGATATAAAATAATAGTCATAGGTTAATTTACTGTAGAAATAATAGAAATGTCCTCCAGAAATTGTTTTCTTATTTCTCAAACTTTCTGTCCCAACTCTAAATTTGTGAATAGAAAAAGAGCAATTGAGTGAATTCGATCTGTTAAAAAAATTGTGCCTTTTTAGGTCACCTGAGTAAACTCAGGTGACCTATTGCTATCCGTTTTCGTCCGTCGTCGTGCGTCGTCCGTTGTGCGTCGTGTGTTAACATTTGAACATTTTCAGCTTCTTCTCTGCAACCACTGAACCAATTTCAGCCAAATTTGGCACAAAGCATCTATGGGTGAAGGGGAACAAAAATTGTGAATTTCATGATCCCTGCCCCCCCTGGGGCCTGAAGGGTGGGGCCAAAACCATAAAAATAATTAGTCTTTAAAAATCTTCTTCTTTACTCCTGGACATCAAGCAGTCAAACTATTTGCATGATTGTAATCAGCATTGAGTCCTCTACCAAAATTGTGAAATTCATGGCCCTGGGATCAGGGGTTCTAGTGCTAGGGCGGGGCTAAGTAAGTATACTGTGAAAATGCATTATTTCTTTGAAAATCTTCTTCTGTGCTCCTGGGTATAAGATAAACCAACTAAGTACATAGTTATGATGAGCAAGAGTGCCTCTACCAAAATTGTGAATTTTATGGCCCCAGGGTCAAGGGTTCTGGTGTTGGGGGGGGGGGGCTCTATTGATTATATAGTGAAAATACATGAATTCTTTGAAAATCTTCTTCTCTGCTCCTAGGTATTAAATAAACTAACTAAGTGCATAGTTATGATGAGCAAGAGTGCCTCTACCAAAATTGTGAATTTTATGGCCCCAGGGTCAAGGGTTCTGGTGTTGGGGGGGGGGGGCTCTATTGATTATATAGTGAAAATACATGAATTCTTTGAAAATCTTCTTCTCTGCTCCTAGGTATTAAATAAACTAACTAAGTGCATAGTTATGATGAGAAAGAGTGCCTCTACCAAAATTGTGAATTTTATGGCCCCAGGGTCAAGGGTTCTAGTGTTGGGGGGGGCTCTATTGATTATATAGTGAAAATACATGAATTCTTTGAAAATCTTCTTCTCTGCTCCTAGGTATTAAAAAACTAACTACCGTATATACTCGCCTATAAGTCGGTTTTTTGGGAGTAAATCTCTAGTCTAAAACTCTTTGTCCGACTTATAGGCGAGCTATTAAAAGTATGGTTTTCTATGAGGTCAGTCCATCTGATGTACAAGCTTATTAAATACAACCGACTTATAGGCGGACCGACTTATAGGCGAGTATATACGGTAAGTGCATAGTTATGATAAGCAAGAGTGCTTCTACCAAAATTGTGAATTTTATGGCCCCAGGGTCAAGGGTTCTGGTGTTGGGGGGAGGGGGGGGGCTCTTTTGATTATATAGTGAAAATACATGAATTCTATAAAATCTTCTTCTGTGCTCCTTGGTATCAAATAAAAACTAAATGCATAGTTATGATAAGCAAGAGTGCCTCTACCAAAATTGTGAATTTTATGGCCCCAGAATCAAGGGTTCTGGTGTTCGGGGGAGAGGCTCTATTGATTATATAGTGAAAATACATGAATTCTTTGAAAATCTTCTTCTCTGCTCCTAGGTATTCAATAAACTTATGAAGTGCAATGTTATAATGAGAAAGAGTGCCTCTATCAAAATTGTGAATTTTATGGCCCCAGGGTCAAGGGTTCTGGTGTTGGGGTGGGGGGGGGCTCTATTGATTATATAGTGAAAATACATGAATTCTTTGAAAATCTTCTTCTCTGCTCCTAGGTATTAAATAAACTGAGTGCATAGTTATAATGAGAAAGAGTGCCTCTACCAAAATTGTGAATTTTATGGCCCCAGGGTCAAGGGTTCTGGTGTTGGGGGGGGGGGGGGGGCTCTATTGATTATATAGTGAAAATACATGAATTCTTTGAAAATCTTCTTCTCTGCTCCTAGGTATTAAATAAACTTACTAAGTGCATAGTAATGATGAGCAAGAGTGCCTCAACAAAAATTGTGAATTTTATGGTCCCAGGGTCAAGGGTTCTGGTGTTAGGCCGGGGTTCTATTGATTATATAGTGAAAATTCATTCAATTTTCTTCTCTGTCTCTGGGTATGAAGTAGATGAACTACCTATTTAGTTATGATGAGCAAGGACCCTAATCTTGCAGAATTGTGTATTTTAAGCCCCCAGGGTCAGGGGTTGGGTGGGGGGGGGCTCTGCTTATATACTGAAAATGAATTTATTGTTTGAAATCTGCTCGTTTGTATTTATAAAACATTTATTTTTTTGATAGGCAATTTTAAGGGTGCCTTTTAAAAATTTGTGCAATGTTTGGACCTAGGGTCAGGGGTTTATGTCACCGTGTAAGGGGCACTACTAATTATTGCTGAATATTACTGATTACTTGGAGTGCCTTTTTGTTCCCCTACCCTGCGTATGGGTATTCAGTTACCAAGCTAAGCAACTGTAAAGTGTATTGTTATTATGATCAATGGTGCCTCTTTCAAAATTGTGAATGCCATATAGCATCTGGCTTAAAACAGGAATCAAATTCAATACACTGTAACTGGAAAGTTGTTGCATAATGCTCAGGTGACCTATAAGGCCCGTGGGCCTCTTGTCTTACATTAATGGTTACTTCTGGTGCTTTCATATACCCCTAAAGGACTTTGACATAAATATTGGTTGATGATTTAGATGTTATGATTTAATTCCTTTACTTTTTACCAGTAACAAACACCGGCCTACAACGGCGATCAATGGGAGACAACTTTGACGAGAGATTAAAACCCACTCACCAGAGTTTTGTCACATCTGCAGACAACCGATTCATATTTGCCTGTGGATTCTGGGATAAAAGCTTCAGAATTTTTAGCTCTGATTCAGGTTTGTAGCTTCATAATTTCAGAGAGATCAATACAGTTCCACTTTGGAATTCACTTTAGATAAAACATTTGTTGTATAATTCAATATTTTTAAATTTTCATTGCAGGAAAGATTCTTCAGGTTGTGTATGGGCACTTTGATGTGGTGACCTGCATAACAAGATCAGAGTGTAATCTTAACCAGGACTGTTACGTTGTCACAGGATCAAAGGACTGTACAGCCATGGTGTGGATGTTTACATCCCGTAACCAGGCTATCATAGGAGATAATGGAAGTAAGTATGCTGTAAACACTAGCATATTGGGAGAAAACTGTAAACACTACAACATGATAACATGACTGAAATGATACAGTTCTATAGGATTTTTAGTACAAAAAATTAGAATTATGAATTATCACTATGCATCAAAAGTTATTAGAGGAGATTTCTCAACCATTTATCATGTCCATGTATAAATCTGGGATGTTTTACAGGCTTAGAACACCCCACCCCTAAGGCCACACTGACAGGTCATGATTCGGAGGTGATTTGTTGTGCTGTTCTGGCTGAGCTGGGGCTGGTACTGAGTGGATCTAGAGGTAAAACATACTATCTGCCATAGAATATTCTAAGGGCAGTAATTCTAGTTCATAGAATATGTTTATCTTGCATTTACATTTTGCATTTATTCAAAAAAGATAATTTTTTTTTAAAATCATACCTCAATATCTCATACGTAATAGGTTAAAAAAAAAAAAATCTAAGATTCAAATATCCAATGATTCAAGATATCAATATTTTAAAGAAAAAATATTTGGAGTCTTAAGCTCAACCATTTCTCATATTTATTTCAATTTTACAAGACTAACAAAGCTGTTTGAAATCAATTGTACTTATGTTTAATATTATCATGTAGAATATACCTGTATTTTGTACAATTATGACTTGATATGAATTTATAACTTAATCTATAACTTTATAACTTAAGCTTAATTTCTTAACAGAGGGAGCTTGTTTGGTCCACTCTTTGAACGGGGACCTCCTGCGATCCTTGGACCCCCCTAAGGGTTGCCTGTCCCCGGAGCTGATCATTGTGTCCAGGGAAGGATTTGTACTGGTCAAGTTTGACCAGGGTCACATATGCAACTTCAGTATCAATGGACGTCTTCTACAGAATGTCAACCACAAGGATACCGTCCATGTATGACAGGAATATCATATTAATTAAGTTATTTAATTAAGAAAAAATCTAAGTGTTAAAATTATGGCCCCCGGGAAGTAGGGTTGGGCCTCAATTGGAAATTCAATTTTACGCTGAAATATATAGGAAAATGTTTGTAAAAGTCTGAATTTGTTGAATGCACTTCCTTGTTGATCTTACAATATAAACTATGTTTTTTTTTTTATATAAAATCAATGATTTAGAGACTTTTTAAGAATAATCATACATCTCTATAAGAATGAATAACTCACTTAGACCACAATTTTTCCAATTTGTCATTTGTAGACGATGATTCTTAGTCGAGATGGACAGTACATGATGCTTGGCGGTAACTCTGGCATTGTAGAAGTGTGGCGGTCACATGACCTGACCCTCCTGTATACATATCCCCCATGTGATAGCAGCATAAGGTCACTGGCATTGACCCATGACCACAAGTAAGTCTTTAACTGTGACAGAGGTAAAGTTTCTGCTTCTGTAGTATTTAATATAAATGGGGTAAGGTTTTTGAACATTTTGAATAAGAGATCCGTTTTCCAAATCTTTTTTAAATTATAAATTCAATGAAACAATTTTTAGTGAAGATTATGTCCCTTTTCCCACTCAATCAGCATGATCTTTATTCAAAAGTAATTCATTAATTACTTCCCTAGGTAATTTGTTTTCCTTTGTTTTGACTAAGTCTTCGAGCTGGATTAAGTATCACTGATAGAGTATAACATGTCCTTTTCTATAAATAAACATCCTAATATCATTTAACAATTCTCTAATCCACATTCAATAGAAAATTCAAGTATTTTGTATTTAGACCTAAAGTGTTTGCTTTGTGTTTTAGGTTCTTACTCGCAGGACTCGGTACTGGATGTTTACTGGTGTTCAACATCGACTTCAACAAGTGGCACCACGAATACCAAGAGAAATACTGACATTTCCGTGTCTAGTCGTCCAACATTCCAAGGTGTGATATCAGCAGGCTGCCATAACTCACACTAGCTCTAGGTCTCTCTGTATGAACGGTGACAATGCAATATCTGGAAGTGTGGAGTCGTTCTGTGCAATGCTAACTTTAGGAATTTTTAAATTTGTAGGGACTTATAAAATGGTTTTTACTATGGTAGATTTGATATAGATGTTTGATTATTGGGAGGGAAACTGTGATAGTTTAGAAGAATATTTATTTCAACATGAACAACAATTTTCTATTTTTTTCACAAGTGCAGTGAAATTGTGTTTATAATTTATTATAGAAATATGCTTTCAAAGTATATGATATAGAAACATTCCAATGATACACCTGTGTGATAAGCTTCTCTGATTTTTAGGAGAATATAGACATATATGGATTTTCTTCAGTTCTAAACTGAAATTTATTACCAAAAAATTTGTTTTTCTGTGAAATTTTTATATATTTTTTGCATGCACCTAAACATAAATAACATAATCATTTTTAAGTGCTAATTGTATCCTCTTTTCATATTCTAGAACTTATCTTTGTTATTATGAAATTAACTGTTGATGTCCAAATTGTGGCAACTTTACACAATATGAAAAACGTTTATGTTGTTTTGTTACTGAACAAAATGAAAATGAAATTTCTGTACAATTTCCGTCAGAAGTGGAACATTGAGTGATAAGGAATTCTGTAAACATATCATGATCATCCCTCATAGCGTGCTTGGTTGTGTATTGGTCACTCTCTAACCATTTGTCTGCTTGTATATTTAGTGTATTATGCTGGATTTGTAAGGGGACTGCAATTTGTTGTTATAAATAGAATCATAGCCAATAAATTATAACATTGATTACTTTCTCTTTTTTTCATTAAAGATTGTTTTGCAAAAAAATAAGATAAAACATATGTGTATATTTAATAGGGTTTATTTTATGAAAGAGAACATTTTGAAAATATGTGTTTAATATAAGTAACAAATGTGCCTGCACATATCTGAATTGCATTGAAATGTTTATATTGTATATATATTTATAGAAACCGGGTATATTGATATCAAATAATCTCTTAAAAGGAGATATGGGTTAAGAAAAAATATTGCATTATATTATTCCCATAAAACTTTTATATTAATGTTCTCCAGTACTATATGAATTGTACACCATTTTAACCTTGGATGAGTATTTCTTCCTGGATTTACACAATAATACTTTACAAGATTATAATATGATGAATTGCAACTGCAGCTTAATCATTATAACTTATATATATCTGCTTCATGCAAACACTTAAAATTTTGATATATAGCATAGATCTATCATCAAATGTATTTCCAAAGATAAATGAGAACACTTTCTGTTATTCATAGACATTGAGGTGGAATTTATCATCTTATTCATCTGTAGCACTGTAGATCATCAATATAATAAGATATGTCTGTTTAATCAATGTGTTCATCATCGATGTAGTAGATAGGATTATCCTGGCTCTGAAAGGGTTCCTCCTGCCTGGAAACTAGTGGAACTTTAAGGTGCTCACTGTCTGTGATTGACGGTGCCGGAGAAGAGTCGGGCTCGGCCTTCTGTCTTTCCAGCGTTCCAGTAATACCTACCATCAGTCCATTCTCATTAGAATTGACCCGGAGATGTAAACTGTCCATAAGTGTTTCTCTTTCTGCAGCACTTTGGTCACCACTGTTATGGCCATTAGAGTGAATATCCTCGCCTTTTTCTGTATAATTGACCGCAGGTCGCGGAATTTTGGTGAGGGTGAAATCCTCTGCTTGATATTTATTCGCCAGTTCAAAAGTTCTTGTTCTTTTGCGTCTGTAGGATTCTCGTATACAAATAACAAGTCCTGCGGATACCAAAACAAGACAAAAGGCGCCGGCGGTAATAAGTACTATGAGGTCTATCTCCTCAAATCCATCCAGGTCATCCTTATCCTTGTCCATCACAGATGGCGCCTCATTTACTTGAACAGCTTTGTAATGTTCCGTTTGTCCAAATACGGTAACATTTATATTAACATATCTAACTAATTCTTTCAAAGAGCTAAAGATTAATTTTTTCGCAGGTATCTGGTAAAGTGTAAATGAAATTCTTAAAGGTTTACAAACGATATTTGCAGCACTGACTGAAATTTTCGGATCATTCAGTTTTTGGATTATCTTTTCTTGTAACTGATCCCAGAAAGTTTTCAATAAACTTTTGTCTTTTACAAGTGGCTCACAGTTACCCTCGAATATCATCTCAAATGTGTGGTTTACAACAACCAAGTCTTTGGACGTTCCATCTGTTCTCTGAGTTGTCGGTATAGATTCAGTGGTCGTGAGGATGTGCGAAGAACTTGATGTCACGTTTTGGCTATAGAGGGATGCTGAGTATGGAACAGTTGTGTCTTTTGTGGAAGAAATGGAATGTGTAGAAACAGGGAATGTAGAGTCACTGCTAAGGATTGATGAAGAAGGCGGACTCGATGTTGGATGAATAGAAGATTGAATTCTTGATGGAAGTTGAGTCTGGGTAGCGATTTCTTTGATAGAAGTCGGTGCAATGGATGTTTTGGTACTTGATTCCTGTAGATATGTGTAGACACTAGAAGCAGCTGAAGATTTGCTAACGAAAATGTCTGTAGAAAACGATGTCGAGTCTGCGCGTTCAGACGCGGTTGAGGAAATGAAGTGACTAGTATCGGTAATTTGTGTGACAGAACTCTCCAAATAGGGACTCGTAGTTTGTGGCGGAATCCTTGTTATATCAGAAAAAGAGGAACTTGCATTGCCAGTCGTTAGTAAAGAGCTAGCCACTGAGTCGGTTTTATTTGGAAAATATTGAGAAGACGCAGAATGAATACTAGAACTTGTAGACGAAAGTATGGAAGAGAATTCAACAGATGCCGTGTCTTTTATCGTCTCCGTACTTCGAGAAATTGAGTCATATTGAGACAAGACTGACGAAATAGACCTTGATTCGATGTCAGAATATGAGGTTGATACCTGTATTACATGAGTATTAAAAGATTGTGATGATGACATTACGTTGCTGGATGTTGGAGATGGGGCAGTTTCTGTAGGGGTGAATGTCGAGGATAACACAGTGTTTCTGATAGTTGTATAGTTAGCGACTGATGACAAGGATGGCGTAGTGGTAGATAACATTTCTGTTTCACTGGATGACGGATAAATTGAACTGCTTTCTTGGAAACTGGAAGCAATAGTAGATGTGTATGGGTATGTAGTAGAAGCACTAGGTAAAACGGATTCACTGGATGTGAAGTTTTCTGTTGTTGTGCTTTCAACTGGAATGGAAGAGTTTGAGGAAGGAAGTAAAGATTCCACACTGGTGACTTGTGAAGGGCTGGTTGAGGCAGAAGACTCCGGCTGCAGTGTGTTTGTCGAATTGGATTCGTAACTCGTTGACGTTGTCTCCAAAGAATTCGAAAAACTTGCATACCAAGATACATCTAATGATTTTGTTACCACGGACTGATTTGTATTGATCACACTTTCCAGCGAGAAGGAAGTTACAAAGACATCAGTTGATGGCGAGTGTGTGAAAGTTTGTGTGTAAGGAAAATTGGTACTGGATGTCGATATCACCGATGATGTCACGTTTTCCGTAGAGGACCTTGGAATGGACGAGGTGGTAATAGTATTATTCTCCACCGTAGCAGAAACTGTTTTATCTCCACACACACAGCCTAATAATTGTAAAGTGCATCTACTGATTCATCGATTTTAATTGTCTTCAAAATAATTCAATAACAAGGTAAAGGTCATTGACGAAAAACAGGATATTATTGAAGACATGCAGAGTCAAGAAATTAGATCACCATACATTTAGAAGTGGATAATTACCTAACATAACGAAGTAAATGGTTGCTCCCCACCACATGACCAAAGCAATTGTCTGAGTACTGCACACCTATAAAACAAAGAGATCTTAATTATCACTGCTGCACGATTGCAATAGTCCTGGAATTGCTATAGGTGTCATTCCATCATTAAGAAAATCCTGTATCCACAAAAAGATGAAAAAAATCTCATTAATTTGAAGAACATGACTTCAGCTGATTTATCTCAGTAATGTAGAAGATGTTGATTAATCTACTTTGTATGTATCGATCTTGGTTCAATACAGCAGTATTAAGAGGTAAACAGTTCCCTGAACTGCGCGGAATTTGGTGGACTTCGTAAACCATGTTAACATGGAATTCAACATCTATAAAAATTGCGTTAATAAAACTTTTCCCAAAATCGATGTATTTTTTTTCTTATCCAGACTTTCAAACGCGGAAAGTTTTTTTTTCATTCTTGTAATCATAATTCATTCACTTAAGTAAAGTGTGAAGTATTGAATGTAAGATAAAATGAAAGCTTCATCATTTCATAAACATAGTATTATTTTTTTAAACTAAGGATTTTTATCATTTTTAGCACAATGAACAATTAAAGTGTATCACTTTGTGGCCACGCCAGAGACCCTTAATAACTCTGTTCTGTGTCCTCTGTGATAACGCGACAGCACTTGCGATAACGTCATTACCAAAGGGGATTGAGTTACCATGAGTTAAAAAAAAATACCAATCATACTATGTTCAAACTGATAAGGTTAAGTACGTACAAAGAAATTTTAATTTTTAATCTATAAATAACAAGGTTATTATATCGCGCCGCTGCATCCATCACTTGTAAATACTAAAGTTTGAAGAGTTGATGATGACTAAATGTTGAGTCGGTGACACCCATCACATGAAAAGCTTCATCCATTCACAGACAAAGGGTGTAAATTCCCAGCAGAACACATGGCTATTGTATTGCGGCATTTGTAAATAAAACATAATTTTGATAAATAAAAAAAGACCCTCCCTGATACGTTGAATAGAGAGTAGAATTGAGAACAATATTTGGCATTCCTAGGCTTTTTACCTGAATGATACAAATTCTTGAAAAAAAAATCTTTTCGTTTATAAAAAAAATAATAATAATAAACAACTTGAAACAAATGGTTATTGCCTGTGCAATTGGATTTTACTTTCAATTACTTTCATTTTATAATTAATGTTTTTTAAAGTTATTTAAAACTTTATGTCCAGTGTACTTACAAAAAAAATTGTTCTTCAGAAAATACACAGTATATTCCAAAAATTTAAACTTGAACTAAATAAATGAGTACTGAAAGACTTTTCTTAAAATTTCAATCCTCCAATACAAAGTGTAAGACATTACCTGATTTTGAGATCCAGGCCCTGTTAAAAGTGTGATGCTGAGTGCGTTATCTGCTTATTATGAGTAGAGGAAATGTAACAGCCTCGTTAGTATATATCGCGCGCTAATCACTTACCTTGTTCGATCGTTTAGTAATTATTTGCAGGGGATAATATCTCATGCTCTTCATAACAGCACATTCCAGAAACAGTCTACATTAGAGGATTTCTATATATTTGTTTTAAAGATATTTTTAAAAAGTATTCTGGGTGTTTCCCATTTATTATTGCCATAATCTCGATTATGTGGTGCTGCTGGTTTGATTGACAGCTTGGGCGGGGCGCTTCGGCGCCGATGCTCAAGTGGATGAGGACCTGAATAGAATTTCAGTAAAAACGAAAAAACAAACAGCCATGGGAATTTATATTTATAATGTTTTGTTTAAAATACTAAGGAAATTGAAGCTAGAAAATTATATAATAGTATGCAAAAAAAGCCCTAAAAAACAAAGATTAGCTTGTTTAAGTTAAACTATAATGATTTGACAAGTCATGTATAGTGCTTGTGCTCACATATTGCAACTTTTGACAAAAGTAAAAGTCTTTCAAATGCGACAAACTCTAAGGTCAAGGTACTTGTCTCAACGAAAAAACCCTGAAATATGAAAGCTATAAACACCAAGCATTCAAAAGTTATGGTAATGGTGAAAGCTTTATAAATATGGGTCAAACTCCGAAGGTCAAAGAGTCAACACATGTATATATATAGAAGACCTTTTAATAAGAAATACTAATGTGCAAAATACAAGTATAAAAGTTCTATCACCAACTGTTCAAAAGTTATGGCAAAGGTTTAAGTCTTTGAAAAGAATGCCAAACTCTAAGGTCAAATAGTTAGCTTTTTTATAAGTCAAACTCCAAGGTCAACAGGTCAAATTGTTAGTATCAAAAAGGAGAGTCTATCCTGTGAAATACTAGTATGAAGGTTTATACTGACTGTTTAAAAGTTATGTCAAAGGGGTTTTTTTTTAAGTGGATCAAACTGAAAGGTCAAGGTCAAAAATATTTATACCCATGAAAAGGACATGTCACAACACATGTGAAGCATGAAAACCCTAATACCAACTGTTCAAAAGCAATGACCAAGGTTGAAATGTGGGTTTTTTTTTTTTTTTTTTTTTTTTTTTGCAAAAGCGCCATGGGTCAAACTCCACGTTCAAGATCAAGAGGTCAAATATGTTGGCACTCAAAGAACACGTGTAACACGTGGATCATAAAAGGTAACCGTACGGTAAAAAAAATGGGACTTTAAGGAAATGTACCCACAGAGTCCATTAATTGTGAGTAATTGATTTGAAAACGGGAAATGTTACAATAATTACTATTATTTTTATAAAGAAATAATTTTTCCATTTTGTACACAAATTTTAACAAAAATGAAAACAGTTTTTGATAATTTGACCAAAGCAATCGGAATAGATCGATTAATTAAGCATTACTCAAATAGACAAAACAGACATATATTTAACGATAAAATTACTCATGATTACCAGTATTAGATACACTGGCGATATAATTATTAGATTATAAAAGATATAAATTCATCTATTCTGGCAGAAGATAGTTTACATTCAAACGAATTGGTATGAATCTTTTTTTTCAAATTTACAGTCTTTTTTTTTTTTTTTTAATTTACATGTTTCTCCCTTCTCATGTAATCGGGTAAAGAAATGAGTTAACGACATTGTTGTCCACTAATTTTTTTCCAGTTTATATATTTTTAGATTTTTGGACCGTGAAAGGCAACCACGAAGATGACGTATTTGCCATTACTTGGATTAGCCATCCTCGAAGGAATCGACTTGTCCTTGGACTGGACTTTTCTGGTTGACCTGTCCAACCGGAACGACCTTGAACCCTACTTCTACATCGTCCTCGTTTTCTGTGTTATAGGATCGCTGACCTTCACCTTAGAAATCTACCTGAAGTACATTGAAATTTCAAAAGTCGGAAGTCATTTTAATCCAGATGTATTTTCTGCTGCCACGACCTGGCTAGAAGATATCCCCCAGATTGCCATAGCTGTCTGTATAGTGATGTTAGTGAGCTCACACCTGTCGCTGGTACAGTACATTAAGGCGATCTATGCCATTTTTGAGGCCGTGATCAGACTGGGCACACTTTACTGTCGCGACAGTCGAGAGGGAACATGGACAAAGTGTATTTTTATTAGTAATTTCTTCTGCTTTGTTGTTATATTTTCCTGTTCTTTGGTAATTTTAGACATCCCTAGTAATTTTCAGCTGACGTTTTTCCGATCGAGTACCCGGGTACTCGGTGATATTTTTCAGTGAGATTTTTCTCTTGTCTTTGTATGTATGTAACACGATGTGAATAAACGGAATTTTAGAAATTTCATATTACTAGTAATTATTTAGTGATGACGAGAACATAAATAGTGATTGTAAAGGTGATGATTCTGATGAAATCCGTAGGAAGATATCACAAATGGCAGTGAATTATTTACAATATGTACCTTTTCTTATAAAATAAAGGGGGGCTAGCTGACTTCTAGTTGACTTTTAAATCCAACGTCAACAGAAAATGCACTTTTTCATACGCGACGACTTTGTGTTTGGGTGTTATCACCATCATCACCCCTGAAATCGAGGTTCCTTCTTTACTTTTTTGATCACTGGTCACTTCTAATGTTATATCATGCTAATAAATATGGTGTCTTAATTCAGCTAATTTAAGTTATAATTTTTGTACTTTTCTGGAGGTGCAAATGTCAATTTTATACCAGACCTCTTCTAAGACTCTAAAGAACCTTGAATCATATTGAGCTACATAGAATGAAAATTATGGCATGAAGAGATTTCAAATGACAATATATATTTATTTAATATTATAGATATTAAGCGTTATTGTTCCTGGCTGAGTAGAGGTTATCCTTAATGGTGATGCACACCGCGTTTACTTAATTGCAAATGCGACGTCTCTTTTTTTTTTTATTTACCGAAGGATGTGGAATGACAAGGAGAAATGCTTAAACGACTGATACATGTATAGATTTGTTTTATTTTCTGAATGCCAATGTTTCATTTGTTCACAATTCATCGATGAGGATATTTTCTAAAAACAGTTTTTGTAATGAGAAGGAAAAAAGTTCAACTTTTGAGGATATATTAGTGATAACTAGAACTCTGTTACTTTTTAATTTTGTTGTAATCAGTGATCATTCAGAATGAATTACACAAATGGACGGTCGGATTATTAAATTATGAAAAATATATCTTCACATATTCTTACACATAATTCTTCAGCTATTCAAGTGGTGTATTTTGAATTATCAAGATAAACTACTTATTTAGGTAGCAAAAACTCTCTTAAAACTTTGACACTGAATCAAACAATTTTCCAATAATTCCACCCCCCCCCCCTTTTTTTCAGAAGTTTGAATTTCTCCTTTCGGTTAAGTCTTAACTGATAAACAAAGAAAGAAGTTGATTGTTTAAAAAAGTTTTAAATCACATAATATGATAATTATACCCATATGCTATCCCTCGGTTTTGGAAATATTGGGTATGAAATGATTTGTACGAATAATAGTTGCGCGATCTAGCTACTATTTGGAAACAATCGATCGGAGAAATTTATAAAACTTTTGACAGATAAATTACTATTAAAAACATCTTTTAATAAGATTCTCCCGGTACATAGCCAATTGAATAATTTATTTATTTCAAGATTCGCCAGCCAGGTGATTCTCTGCTGAATATATATACAATCAGCACTTCCGGTTGAAATGATTTCTTGAGAAAAACTAGACTGCATAAAGAAAAGCTTTCAAAATGATGGAATTAAATCTCACACGGGTGGACTACGTGCAGGTAAAGTTTGTGTTTATATGAAGGGTAACAAATGAAATGATTTTTCTATCGCAAGGTAACTACCATCTTCGCTAGCCAAGGGTGACGATCGTCACCCTTGGCTAGCGAAGATGGGTAACTACGAAATCAATATTTTCATAAAAAGTAATTTATCATGTTTTAATATACTGATATAGCAGATATCTGCAGATTTTGATCTAGTTATGATAATCAAACTATGTCAGCACAGCCTTCACAGGTCATCACCACTTGGTATGTAGGATAGTAACATTTTTAAATAGAACATTCCAATATCAATACTAATTTATTCAGGTCTGGTACAACAGATCCCTGGGTACAATCACTAGATTTAGCTACGTAGCTTGATTTACCTACTTAGCTTTATTTACGTACCTGAGGTAGCTTTATCTAGCTACCAAATCAATTTATTTTTATAGAAAATTTAAGCCTTTTTCTTAGGATGTGCATAATTTTGATGCAGTGATAATTTTCAACTTTGAACTCATCTGAAATCAATTCATAAAAAAATCACTCTTGAATAAATGTCTTTTTCTGCACAATTGCAATCAATGTCATACAATTGCTACGTATTGCAGTTAGAACAGTTACTCCTTGAATGAAATGACAAAGAAGTCCAGTTCCGGTTAACACAATAATAGGTCAGTAATTATTCAGCACAATGTGAAGTAATCATACTCAGCCATGCCTCACCGCATGCATGAGAGAGGACAGTTATCCAAACAATGGAATTACATGTTTTGCTCTAAATTGTCCAAACGCAGCAATGTATAAATTATTTCTGCTCTGGATTGTTTTTTTAAACCTCCGTAGAATAAATATTAATAGCCATTTAATTATAATTTTTTGTCTCATTTTAATAAAAAGAAAAACTTTGAAAAGTTGCATTGAAATAGCTAAATAAAGCTACCTGAGGTAGGTAAATAAAGTTACGTAGGTAATTCTACCTACGTAGCTAAATCTAGGAATTGTACTGGACCTGTTAATAGTTTTGATAATATGTCAAAGAAATACATAGATCTAATTAACAGTAACATGATATTTAATATTTTTTCGTTATTTTCCTCAAAGGTTGGTGTCACCTCCAGTAAATCACTGCGACTCCTCCCTCCCCAGGTCCCAGGAAAACCACAGAGGGTAATTCACAAGATATTGAAGATATTCTCATGAAATGATGCAAAATATGATTTAAAAAAAAATCATTTAAATGTATTAGACTATTCACTACTCTTTTGCAGGGCAAATTCAAAGCGTTTGGTATTTTTTTTTTTAATTTAAATAGATGATTGAGAAATATATCTTAAACAATTACTTTGACATCATTTCCCACCAAAATATATCATTTTGCCCTTCAAACAAGTAGTCAGGTAGTACCAATG